AAAGAGGCTGGTTGGTGAAGGAGATGAACAGCTGGAAGGCCCAACTAAAAGGCTTGACACTGAGAAGGTCCCCTTTAGGCGAACTGAAGGGGAAATGCATTCTGTGCCAAATGATGGCGGATTGCACTCTCTTTCTGAATAAAGGAGTCCAGCCCAGGCCGGGGGTGAGACCACAAAGGGCCCCATTTTGCCAGTTTCCCACGCTGTGTTTTGGGGCTGCTGGGAAAAAGGGAGGGGATGCCAGATTGCGGGAGATGCATCACAGTCCACCTGGCCTGGGGGCGGGGGGCAACTCCGATGGGGATGCTCCAGGGAAGCTGATCCAAGAAAGGCCTGCCAGAGCATTAGCAGCTCTCGGCGCTGTGTGAATTGCTGCCTGCACACTTCCCAAGGCCAGAGTGACGACAATCAAGACTCAGAGTGGTGAAAAGTCACACCTTTGCAAATGGGGCTCTCTTTCCCACTGGCCCTTAGCTGGGCTCCCCAGCCTTTGACCCCTTGCACAGGCCTGCCGGAGGGTTGCTTCCCATGGCCAGAGGCAGCATGAAGGTGGGCTCCGTTCCATTCCCAACTGGTGGGGGCCCATCAGGCGCGTTCAGCTTCCTTGGCCAGGACGCTGATGGGCCTCTGGGTCCCCTCCTCTGCCAGGTCTTTCCAGCTGCCAGAGAACACGAGGCATTCACTCCCCAGTCTGCGCAAGGAGAGCCACGCACGGCAGCCAGCCCGGGCCTGGAACATCTGCCTACCTGGAGAGCAGAGGCAGGGCCTGACTGAGTCTGAGACACAACCTCGCGGGAGCTGCAGGCTGGCTGCCAGTTGCCCAGAAGTGTGGCCAGTTCTAGTTAAACCAACCAAGGGCCCTGCAGGGAAGGCCCCCTCTCTGTGGCGTTGATGAGGGGGGTGTAGCCAACTGAAACGAGCTGCCACTGCGGAAAAGTGACGCGGCATTCGGTAAAGAGTCAGGCCTGCTCTGAGTGCCACTCGCGTGCCCCAAGAAGCAATGCCATGCCTGGCCAGGAGCAAGGAATGCTCTTGCTCACGGAGTCCCTGCAGCATTGGGCTGCATTTGATCCCCTCTGCCCTGCGCCACTGATGGGGGGCCCTCAACCTCTGCGGAGGCCCCTGCTCGGTTCTGTGGGTGGCCCTATTAGGACGCTTGCTGACCCGCAACGCCCCTTGCTTGGCCTTGGCTCCTGTCAGGCCCTTCAGGGGCAGCCCTCACTTGCTCGCCTCCTGTCTGGCCTGCAAAAGAGCCTCTTGCCAGAAAGCTGAGTGGGCGCTGTGGCCCTTCCAGATTTAATTCCCTGAGAAGCGTGCCGTGTGTTTGTCTGGAGTGATGTGCATGGTGTGTGCCAAGAAAGGTCGGGGTAGCTGCTAGAAACAACCCAAGCTCTCCTTGCGAAACGGCTACTCAAACCCCAAGGAATGGCTGCCACGAGAGCAAGAAGGTGTGAGAGGAAAGGTGCAGAGAACGTCCGGGATTGCCCAGTGAAGCTTGGTGGTCAGAGATCCAGCAGGTGGCAGAAGACGTTTGCCTTCCCCACCCCTGGCATTAAATGCCCTGCTTCCCTTGCCATTGGCCAGGCTGCAGTGAAGAGGTTCCCTTCCTTGGAGCCATAAGAGTTGGCAGGGACCTCGGAGGTCTCCTAGTCCATCCGCCTGCCCAGGGTGGAATCCCCACCCCATTCTGGACAAAGGGCCGTTGGTCTTTGCTTGAAAACCTCCAGTGACGGAGCCCCCGTGATTCCAGGAGGGAGGCTGTTCTGTGGCTTCGTAGCTCTTGCAGTCCGGAAATTCCTCCTTAGCTTAAGCTTGGATCTCGCTGTGAAGCCTCCACCAGTTGGCTCTTGTCCCATCGCCGGGCACTACGGAGAACGCATCCACACCTCCTTCCGGGGACATCCCTTCATGCATTGGAAGATGGCTATCTTGTCTCCCCTTGGCCTTCTTTTTTTTAGGCTAAACAGACCAAGTTCCTGTAACCGCTCTTCATGGGATTTGGCCTCCAAACCCCTCACCATCTTTCCTGCTCTTCTCCGCACCCTTTCCAGTTCCTCAAAATCCTTATGTTGTGGCAGCCAGAACTGGGCAGGGTATTCCACGTGTTGCAGGCCTCCCTCCCTCCCTCCCTCCCTTTGTGTTTAGATGTCACCTCCTACAGAGACTTGTGCAAGATGTGCTTGAGCTTCTCAAGAGGTTCCACTGACCTGGGTGGCTTTAAAAGAGGATGAGAGGAGGATAAGCCCATCCCTGGCAGTTCGCCTGCCTCCTACGTGCCAAGGCCACCTAACTTCAAGCACCAGATGCAGAGGCTCAGCTGCGCACTCTCTCCTGAGATGAGAGAGGAGGAAACCTTTTGGCTTGCGAGATTGTGCTGTTTTCCTGGTGCCTCAGAAACAAGGCTGGAAGAGTTGCTGCCCTCATCGCGGGCTGCAGCTGCTGCTGCTGCTGAGGATGGCAATGGTGTTCACCAGTGGAAGCCTTCTCCTTGCCCCACGTGGTGCGGCTGCTTTTCCTCTTCCAACCATGCCAAGCACAGAGTAGGGGAGCCACCAGAAACACACCGGACCTCCGTGCCCATCTCAGCTCCTTCCAGCTGATGACTGGGAAAAGTCTTGGTATTGGACGCCCCTCCACCATGCTTGAGTGGAGATTGAGACCGAGTTTGCTTAATAAAGGGGCTTTTCTTACAGCTAACAGGGTGCCTTCACTTTTTGACGTATCTGCGTGTGTGACAGAGAGAGATGAAATGAAATCCTAAACGTGCTATGCTTTTATTTATGGAATAAGGAATCAAACTGTAGGGGGGGGAAATGGCAGCGTTCAGCTGTCTGTTCATAGTAGGATCAACTTCATGGAAGATACCAAGTTTGGTCTCCTGTGAGGTCAATATTTCCCTCAACAGACCATGAGGAGGAGGAGGAGATAAGGTACTTGTAATCAGTCTTACATGTAACCCGCATTTGCATCGCCACCCTGTCTTCCCTCCTCCACACATCCTAATTTAAATCCCACACCAGTCCAGCCACTCTATACATCTGATGAAGGGAGCTGCAGCTCATGAAAGTTTCTGCCTTTGAATAAAATGTGACAGTCAAAAAAGGTGCTCCAGTTTTGCCGCTGAAGATGGGGGAGGTGGCTAAACCAGGAAGTGAGGTGGAGGGGCCAGGAAGGGGAGTGGGGTCCCTCTCTCTTTTGCAGGCTCAGGCACTTGGGCTCCCTGGGCCTGGAGCCACAAGCCCAACTCGCTTGCTGGAGCGCCAGAGGCCTGGCCCAGATGCCCGGTCGCCTCCCCTCCTCTTGCGTCTACATAGCAACGCCTCCGGCCACAGCACCGCTGCCGGGTCTTTGAGCCTGAGCCCGCCAGGCAGGCGTGCGTGCATGCGTGCCCCAGGAGCAGGGCCAAGGGGTGCTCGTCCCCTCCCCCGCTTCCCAGGCACCTTTCTCCGAGGGCCCTTGGTGGAGCCCCATCCTCCAGGCAGGATTCTGCCTTCTCAGCCTCTGCTGGGCCCAGCTGAGCCCAGCTAGGCTTTCCATGGGCCAGAAAAGGCAGGGCTGCTCCCAGGGCCACCACTGCCCCTGGGGAAGAAGCGCCGCGGCAGCTTCTGCCCGTGGCTGGACCAGCAGCCGGGGGGAGCAGGGGAGAGCAGGGGCACGGACCGTGGGGCGGGGAGCTCAGCAGTCCCTTTCCACCCAGTGGGACAGGATTCGGAATTGGGCCTGGATAGTCTCTTTCCTTCCCGTTGTCCAAATCCCCTGCATTGGCCTTTGTAAATCATAGCCTTGAGGATATGCCCGCCTGCCTTTATTTTATTCTGAAGGAAGTCCCTTGGGATAATACTGTATAAGAATATGATCTTCCTTGTGCGTTAATTGCGGGAGGCCGGTTTTCATCCTTTTCTTTGCAAAGATCACGGAGGTTTGGGCCTCCTGGTCAGCCAATCGCTTCCCCAGCGGCGTCTGCGGGCTCAGACTGTTTCTGCAGGAAGGGTGAAACGGGGCCACAGGGTGGCCCTACAAGCTCTGACTCTTTGCAGGGTGCAATGTCGCGATGGATTTTGCCAGCCTGACCCTCCTGGGCTGCAGCTGCAGCCTGGCTGGATGAGGGCACCGGGCTAAAAGGCAAATCACGGCTGACCACATGTGAGCGCCAGCGGGCAGGACGGCCCAGAAGAGCAGCCTTGCTTTTCAGGGCTCGGGCGCTGCGATGATCTGCCGCCCCAGAGCGCCAAAGGAGCCCTGTTTTGCCAGGCCCCGCTGGGGGGTTCCCACTTCTGTCACCGCCCTGCCTCCCCTCCCAGTTTAAATCCTCCTTCCCTCCTTTTTCAGCTCCTGAGGGACAGAGCTGGAAACCAGCAGCCCCCGCGGCGAAGAAGCCGTTCCTTTGCTTTCTTTCGAGCAAGCTGGGGGAAATGAAACAGGGGCCGACCGACAGAAGCTGAACGCAGTCAGGCAACCTTCCTGGCCCAGAAGAGCCAGTTGCCCCCCACCCCGCGAAGAAGGGCAGAATATGGCCCGGGCAGGCACAGGAGGGCGGCTCTGGGCTCCCCCTCTCCCCCACCTCCTTGACCAGCTTCTCTGAATTAGCCCCATGGGCTTCAATGGGCTCCTGGCGTTTTTCTGGGTTATGGGTTTCCCCATTTGTTACAGCTTTCTTCACAGCCCTCCCCTCCTCACGCCCCTCTCTGAAGCTGCTCAGCCCACGGAGGTTGTAGCGGAAAGCCTGCTGGCCACGCAGACACTCATCGTCCAGCCTTGCCAAGGACACGTTGCCCAAAGGGTGGCCCTCCAGAGACAGGCAGTCACAAAGGGCTTGTAATGGCAGTAGTCACGTGCCCAGTGGGTTGTCATTTGCTGATGCCCAGTTTAGATGTGGGGAAAACCGGAGCGCTGCGGTCAAGATGGCTGACGCCACAGGGTCTGCCAAGGGTTCGGCCCCATGTCACACCCCGGCGGGGCTGCAATTTCTTCCCTTTCCCTTCTCCAGCAGTATCTGCACATACAGTTCGAGAGACTCTTTAATTTACCAAGTTGGGGTTACAGAATTACAGAGGGGCCTTTCCAAGAGAGTCGCAGCCCCCTGCTCTGCCCTCAGGGGCCTGGGAAGCCAAGTGGTCTCGAAGGCAAAGCATCGCGGAGGCCACAGCAAGAGTGCCGGGACTGAGGAAGCCGCCAGGCCAGGGAGACACTTCAGGGAGCCGGGGAGGCAGCTCCATCGGGGCTCAGCCACCAGAAGGATTCCCTACGAGTTCTCCTCAAACCACTTCAGGACAAGCGCCTTGTTCTCTTCCACCCACTTGATGTTGGCCTTCGTTCTCTCCAGGGCCTGCTCGAGCGCCCGGGTGGCTGAGCCGAACCCCACATCAGCGTTGTCTGCCTTGAACTGCTCCAGCTGTCGGGTGGTCAGAAAAGAAGGAAGACCTTTTACCACCAAACGGGCTCCCAGCTATGGGTGGGGGGATTTGCCAGGGCTGGATCAGGCGCCTGAGTGTTCAGGAGGCCCCTGTACAATCACCCAGGCCTGCTGCTGCCACGGCTGGCCTGGCACTGGATTTCCCCACTCGCACCCTTTCGCCACCCCTCTCTCCCATTGAATTCTTCCATCTGCACTAGCAGCGGCCAGGACGGAGGCCTTCCGGGAACAAAATGAATGCATACTTGACCTAGCAACCATTCTGAAAAACCCTATCTGATCACTGAAAAAAGGTAATTTGTCCTGCTCTCAAAAACTAAGGATCAGTCCTGATTAGCACTTGACTGGAAGAATGCTTGAAAACCTCAGGGTTGTAAGCAGGGAAGTTGAAAAAAGATCCCAGGAAGATACTGGAAACTTACCTCCATACTGTTGCCAAGAAAACAACATGAACTTGTTCACCATGAGATGAGCTCCATTCAAAGGTGATGGACTGTACTTAACAACAGAGCTTTTCGTCTATCTACCTACCTATCATCTATCCCCCCGCACACACATCCATACCCCCACCCACAGGACAACCTGGTAAAGCACATTTACAGCCCTGGGTGGCAGCAAATCCTAACCCTACAGTGCCCCCACCCCCAGGGGAAGTCTAGCCCACCTCTAAGGGGCGTTTTACATCATGCAGCCTTTGGATACCCAGAAGGTTTTCCCGCCTGCTGGGCAGTAAAAGCGAGATAACTAGACCCAATGTTTCTCTTTCGGCTGTTTGCCAAGAAGGCAGCCTCCGTCTTCCGGGAAATGCCTTTGCATTGTTCTCTAACATACAATGGCTTTTCTTCAATGGGCAAATATATAAATCAGGGTCTTGGCTGCTCCAGAAAGGTGGCTGCCACTCCCCCAAACAGCCTTACCTGTTTAAGTTCAGAAGTGGACGCAAACCTCTGTGTCACCGTCTGAATGAGGCTCGAGAAAGAGAAGGAGCCTGTCCCAAACCTAGGCCAGAAGACAGTGGGGTAAGCGGCTGGCCTCCCGTCACCCACCCCACACCGGGAAGCCACACTCACTGGTTGAAGAGGGTCCTCCAGTTGATGCGTACAAAATTCCAGGCAAGGTCCTGCCCGGCCAGGTTCTGGGCAATGCTGTTGATGGTGGACGTGGCATCCTGGCGGCGGATCTTGGTGGGGTCCAGGGTGAACTGAAGGTATCTGCGAGGGATGAACGGGTAGCTCTGTGAGCTCAGCCCCTCCCCCAGGAAGCAGCCGCCGCCCGGGATTCCTTTCTTTTCATGCAGTCACACACCCATAGAGTTGGAAGGGACCCAGCGTCCTCTCACCCAACCCTCCGCAATGGGCAGGAAAACCATCCCTGAGAGGAGGCTACCCAAAACCTCCAGAGACAGAGAACCCACCCCCTCCCTAGGGAGACTCTTCCCCCGTTGGACAGCTGTTCCAATCAGGAAGCTTTCCTTCCCTTTAAATGGACGCAAGGGACCCTTCATCTGAGATCACCCAGCCAAGGATCCTCTGTGATTCCTGAGCTGTGTCCCCATGCTAAAAGACATCCTGGAGAACCCCCCACTCATCCCTGGCAATTGGATTAAGCCCTGTTAGCTGCCCCACCCGCCACTCTATGCAGTGATCAGCCCACCTCTGAAGGACCCATGGGATCTGGCTGCAGGTCAGGGCCCGTCGAAGCTTGTCAGCCTCTGAGATCACCGTGGCCTTCTGAAACATCTGCCAGCCAAAGTCCCAGACCGCCACATCGCCTGTGCTGATGGCGCTGCAGTAGATGGCGGAGCGCAGGTTGGGCGGGATCCTGAAAGCGAGACGGACACTGAGAGGAGCAGGACAGTGGGAGAGGAGGGAAACCGGGGGCATGCAGAGAAGCAGGCTTAATTGGGAATGAGTATCTTGAGCTCCAGCATGCCCAAAAGGCTGCCCAGGAAAAACAGGGCAAGGTTTTGCTTAATCGTCACAATCCGTCATTACTGCAGCCTGGTTCCAAAAGGTGGTCCACGCTTTGATGGCTACAACTGCCTTGGGATGCAGCGACTGAGGAGTACACATTTCGTCTAAAAGAACAGAAGCCACAGGCAGGGAGAGAAGGAGTTGCGCGATATATTAAAAGGGTCCTGCTCAGAAATCCCCGTGAATGACGGTGGCAATGCCTTCAGAAAGCAGAGGAGCAACACGGCATGCTGGGCTGTGCCTTCTACTGCCCTCCCAACGAAGAAAACGCTGCGGATGATGCCTTTCAGAATCAGACCGCAGTGCTTTCAAAGACATGCGAGCAAGAGTCTGTTGGGAGGCAAAGGGCCTTTCCTCGCTTCCAAAATCCCTGGAAAAAATATCTGTGCCCGCATGAGGTGGTCTTCATCTCAGCCGTAGCCCACGGGTGATGCAGGCATTAGCCTTCCTGATATTAGCATTCAAGTAGCATTTTCTCCTTCCTTGAAGAGCAGGAATAAAAGCTGCGAGGCTCTATCCTCTATGTGAGTGGCTGCAGAGCTCTCAAATTCAAATAAATATGGGGGCCACATTACATAAAATACACGCATAATGGGTGGGCTGCACTCATATATGCAAAAAGTTATTAACCTCTATTGCTTATTAATTAACAAAATCATTAAAACGATTCATTGTTATTTATAATTAACAATAATTTAAATTAAATTAAAATGACATTACTGTATGGAAGTTAATAAAAGCAAAAATGTCCTGCCTACTGTAAAGCAGTAAAATACTGTATTGCTGTGGCTGCACTCTACGACTTGCCTGTGGTCCCACCACGGTGTTGTTCTGTGCGCTGCGTGGGCAGATGGCAGCACCAGGCAAGGTAACAAGGCAGGATGGCGGCAGGGCCCTGCAGAGCCAGGCCAGCAGGATTTGGGCTCCAGCAGCGACCTGAGCTATATTGTCTGGAGTGACCAGAAACAGAGGGAGGGCAGGCAGGAGAGTGACCAGAAACAAGGGGGAGAGCAAATGCCATGCCAGGCTAACTTGCTGCCAGATGAAAAATGAAGGGAGAGCCCTCCCACAGAGAGGTAGGGGAAAATCTCCTCTGCCATGCCTGGTCCTTCCAGGAAATGCCTGACTTGTTCTGCTGACTACTGTCTCCTTCAGAGGAGGCACAAGAGGACTAGCTGTCCTTGACTTGATACCCACCGGTATGGAAGACCTGACTAAGTGGAAGAAACAGCAAGAAATGCCCCCATATCGCGCTAGAGCTTTTGATTCTATGTGGAATTGCACACATGCCTTGGACTTCAAGGAAGAGGGTTTTAAATAACTTGGGAATGGTGAATAGTAGCAGATGGTGTGAACAGGTACTCAATATAGTGGGAATTTCTAAAACTGGGGGTACAGATGCAAATAATCCTAATACAGGGCACCAGAAGTAGCAAGGGTGGCTATGTAAAACAGTTAGCGAAGATCTGGAAATGTAAAAAGACACGTAGGTGGAAAGAGGGACAGATCACCAAGGAAGGGCAGAGGAAGATCCCCAGCAGCAGCAGGGCTGATGTTAGAAGAGCTAAAGCTCAGGACAAGCATGGCCAAAAATGTTGAGAACAACAAAATGACTTCTCGTGAGTACATCCTTGGCTCCATGGATCTTGGTCAAGGGGCCTTGGACGCGATGGACAAAGACTGGCTGTCCATCTGGGGGTTCATCCACATCACCCCCTTGCCTCAGCTCCAGTATGGCCTGCTTACCATTTGCTGGGGACATATTTCACAGTGGAGCCTCCATCGGAGGGCCGCCCTGCTGCTGAAACAAGCTGAAGTTGAACAAGATGATCCAGTAAGACAAGGGAAAATGGGAGGAAGTGTCCCATGCAAAGCTGCTGTGTCCCCCAGAGAAGTCCAAGGAGACCCGCATGATTTCCCTGGCCCACTGCAGGACCAGCCCCCTCCCATCTGGCCATGGGGCTCTCAGCCTTTGTGGCCACGGCTTTGGCTGCCCAAGAGAACGGATGTTCCCCGGGGGGGTGGGGTGCTGACCTCATGGTAGACCTGAAAGAGCAAAAACCAGAAGAATGTATTTTTTTTGCCTTTTAGCCCAGAAAGGATAGGACTGCTCCCTTGCAAGCTCAAATAAAACCAGACGCATCTCTTCTAGTAACACCTTTCTCTGTAGTGCTCCCTGTGGAAAGTGCCTCTCCAACCATCT